TTGACCCTCATACTGAAATGACGATAACAGTAACAGCTAACAAGTTTTAGTTCTTTCGTCTTTCACGCTGAAACTTTGAGCTTTTCGCAGGTTTTATATGATATTAAAATTAATGATACCGAACTGTAACTGTGAGAACATATATTGTAAAGGATGAAAAATTTATTTGTTACTTTACACCAATACCGTGGTTGTGTAGGACATATGATAATTTTACACTTGGTAGTACCGCAGTATTGCACTGCCCTCTTAATTCTAGGCACCTAGAGAGATCGTTTAAGCAGGCAACGGTTCCATGGTGTTTAAGCACCTGGAGTGCTTAGGACGCAACAGCGCGTCTCCTGTTTTGGTTGAGCAAAGGCATATTCAAGCCCAAATGCCACTCTCTGGAATCAAAGACATGCAAAAAGAAGAATAACCCCAGTGTTCTGGAATAGACTCCGCGAATGGGAGATTTCGATGCCGCATCAGTATATGACATTAAAATTAATGATACCGGATTTCATAGGCTTTATTTTAAATTCTCGTAAGAACATTAAACTTAAATGAGGTATAAATTATAAAAACATTTTGTCAATTAATTGTCTGCAAAAATAACAGTATGCTGTGCTAATCTTAAATGGATGCAATGTATTCTGAGCTAGTTTAGCAGCTACTGCGACTTGTCAAATTCAGCTCAAAGCGAAATACATTAAATGGAACAACTTTTTCAGTCTTTCTTATTGAAGTCTAAAAAATTACTGTTCAGTTTCCGTATATTTTTCTGTTGGAGTGAAGTCAAACTTAGGTCTCTCAGTCTAAGCTTCTTTGAATTATTTAGGAACAATGGAACTCTGGAAGACGGTAGCAAGATGCTTGCAAGTCGATCGATTAGCCAGACGACGAAGGGTAGCTTCAGATGCATTTCGTTCTTCTCTAACAGAACTTCTTTTGGGCGAAAACGGATGGGTTGAGCAAGTGGACAATCATATAAGGTGGTATTGGTCAACTGTTGATATAACTCATGCTTTGTTTGCTTAGATACCGCTATGACGTCACGAAATGTATGTTCAGCAGTGGCAACATTACCGAAAAATTGCGTATATCAAAAATGAATTGTGCAGGGGAAGTGGTTGCAGATATGTTTGCCGGTACAAAACTGTGCTGTTTACTAAAGTCTCTTTAGCACATTGTGATAAATTAGATAGGTTGGTTCGTTCCTTTGTTTCTCGTATACTGAAAATAAGCGAAAAAGCATGCTTTAATTATACACAACGCAGAAGATATCGTGGTCAGCCCGGTGAACTGATTAATACCGACCTTACGGCCAGTGTCTCACGAGTCTTTTTCCAGGTAGGTTGGTGGGGAAGTTTCGCGAAAGTGTTGGGTTTCCGCAACAGCCCACAGTTTCGAAGCCAGAAGACCTTTGGAGACTGACCATAGTATCTTTTACGTTGTTTAGAAATAACGTGTTCTGTTTTTTCATTACATTAAATTAATATTAGGTCATTATTGAACTATTGGCACTGCGGACGATTAGCAGCCAATAGATGCGTTTGTTCGTAATATGACTTAATGCATACTTTTTCCTCCCTTTTCTGCTGTATTGTACGAAGGACTCTGCCAACCGGTATATATGCCTGTAAACGCGATTTGGCACTAAATCTAAAGCATAATGTAGTTGGTTCATGTGAAATTTTCGACCAGGATTTGTTCTTACGCCACAGTATGCAAATTTTCTACAATTTCTTCAAGACTACAGTTGAGTCGAGCTGCCTGGGGAGACATTTAAACAGACCATGATTTCATGACATTTGATAACCTGCAGTGCCGCGTACGTGTCGCATTATTTTTTTATCCTCACTTCTGTCCTTCTGACGGGCGGCTGGGCATGCGTTAGTTGCTTTATCTTCCTTTCTGGAGTCATTCGCAACAGGTGTCCAAACCATCGCAGCTGTGACTTCTCAATCTCAAGAAACAGCGGCTGTACACCAAGGTTCTCGCGGATTTCTGTACTCTGGATCATGTCGAGATGCATAAGGCCAACGACTCTTCTCAAAATACCCATTTTATCCCTTGTACTTCGCCATCAAATTTTTTTTTGTCATTTCCCATGACTTATGACTGCAGGTAAGCGTGAGAATGAAGATCGACTTGAACACCGTGCTCACCTCTGCTTTAGTAACAGGGTTCAGGCTACTTCACGCCAAACTCCACGGACTATTCCTATCCGCTGGTCGATCTCATTCTATTTTCCATCACTAATAAACGGTACCCTGAAGTAAAGAAGCTCTCTGCCTGTTCTACTGCTTGCCGTTTATCTGATCAGCAACTGATACGAAAACGAGAAAGCACTAGGCTTTTCGCTCTACTTACGTTCGCACGCATTCCGGCCACGTCGCAATTTGTTGCGAACCTTTCCAGAGAGTGCTGTAGAACAGTTTCAGAAGATACCAGGAAACATAGTCATCTGCAAAAACAGCAACCTTCTCTCTTTCACTCCTCCTACGTTGATACACTCATCTTCTGAGCTTCTCTTCACTATTTAATCCAAGTACATCCCGAACAGGAGTGGTAACAAACCGCTGATTTGGTAAAGACCAGTACCAACGTTGAAAGGTGTCGAACTTAGCCATTTCAGCACTTCTGTCATCCTATAGTGGTTCGATGACCCGTTGCAACTGGATATCGATCCTATATGTTCGCTGGCTTACCTACAGACTGCTGTGCAGCATCCGGTCATAGGCTTTCTCTAGGTCAACAAAGCACACGCACACCGGATGGGCAAACTCGCACGATTTTTCAGCAGTCTGGCGAAGGGCGAATATATGGTCAGAGGTGCTTCGACCGGACCGGGACCGGGACCCGTACTGCTCTTCTTGCATCTTGGATTCAGTTACTTCGTGGCACTTTTTTCTTAGTACTTTTGCCGTAGACATGAAGAGGCTATATTAGAAAATACCTTGATAAGTAGAGCAGTTATGGTGGTCTATTTTCTTGAACAGGGAGAATGCAGCTCCCCGTTCTCCAGTCCGCTGGTGTCATTCCCGTAACCATTGAAGTTTGCTACACACCTATAAGCCAGCACATGCTTTGTTCGTCTAATGCCTTGAGCATTTCAGGGAGCATTTCATCAATTCCAGCAGATTCTCCATTTTTCAAGCTTTTCACAGCTTGTATAATTTAATCTACAGATATAGTAATATCCGTTTCCTGCCGCTCTAGAGGCAAGTCTTCCTGCGGTTGCGCGGGGTTAAGGAGTTCCTAACAGTACTCCCTTCATCTCCAAAGAATGTCATCATCCTGGTAAGAGGATGTCCAGACCGTCCTTCAAGACTCTGAGACTGCCCTTCTTTTCACCTCGGAGACGGCGGATGGTCGGCCAGAATATAATGTTTGCCGTCTGAAAATTCGACTCCAACGCATGACCGAACTTCTCCCAGGAATCAGCTTTGGCTTTACTTCTGCTTTCCCTGCGGGATTGCTCTTTTCTAGATATCGCATGCGAGTTAAAGGCTCCTTGCTTTCATGTCATTTTTTCTCTTTTGCTATCAGTTATACCCCTCCTGTCCACCAGGAAGTTTTTTTCTGACCTCCAGGCAGTTTGCGAATCCGTAATCCGTTTGATTCCGCAGCATTCGGCGGCAGCCTCGAGTATGCCGCTCTTAAAGAGCTGCCACTCGATTTTCACATCAGTGATCATCACCGGGATCTGTTCAAACCGTCGTGTGATGTTGTTTGCAAATTTCGCCCTCGAGTCCACTGAAGATAATGATTCTCATTTGATTCTCCGGTTGCTTCTGCCATCAGATTTTCATGTGATACTCCATTTATCACAGTGTAGGGTGCCAACAACATGGTAATGGTCGGTTGACAGCCGTGCGCCTCTGTTAACTCAAACATTTATTACAGGTCATCTTAATGCAATTATGAAACCGATCATCGATTTCTGTTCACAAGCTTCCCTGTACCAAGTATACTGATGCACTCTTCAGTGCTCGAAGAAGGTGATCATACTGAACAGTCCGTTGTTTGCACAAATCCGCAATTACTTTATTCCGCTATTGTTGAGGTCGCTAGAATCGTTTTTTCAATCACGCTTTCCAGGTTTCAGTGTCTGCTCCAACATCCGCATTAAAATCGCCAATGAATATTCGAGGGGCACCATATTCGGCACTTCGTACAGAGCACACTCCTCTTTCTCAGAGAAGGAGTCATGATCTCTCTAATTTTTGCGTAGAGACCTGTAATAAAGTCAGAAATTAGTGATGTTGTTTCCTAAGTCAGATGATTGCCACTCTTCCCCTGACGGGCTTCCATTGAACGATTTTGTCATCCAGATTGTGTTCTACCAGAACAGTAATTCCGGTTTCATGTCGACCTGAGTGGAATAGCTTCCACCCGCAGAGGTTCAGAATACCATAGCCTTATCGCTTTGTTGACTAGAATCAAACTCTGTCAAGGTTATTACTTTGCTGCCTTATTAACCAGTTTCTGCTGTTTTCTTCTGAGGGATATGTTCTGATTTCTTTCTGTAAGCTCCCACGTTCAGTATCGTTTCCGTGGAGCCTTATTTGAAATGCTATAATGGCATCGCGGGGTCTGCATTCTCAGTTCAGAATGGGTAGCAGCTGCGTTTGTAATTGGTGTTTTTGTCGTCGTTTGGTCGGTTTTTGACTGCCGTTGTGCTGCTACCTCCCCCTCCCCCACTGCCAGAAGGCGATGAGCAGGTTCTGGTCGCCGACTTTTTGCAGTCTGCCTCAGTTCCCCAACAGCCAGCTTGGCCCTTTTTAACCGGGGCAAGGACCTAGCCGATATAGTTTTCGATGGCGTCAATACAATGAGTGGCAGGTGGCTAAATTTTACGGAGACTTCGCCACGGTTTTCAACCGATCTCCTTTCTGAACCGGGCTTGGTGCTGGCAACGGCTGAGTTTCATTTTTTGCTACTGACATTTCTTGTTCATCTCGGATAAGTTTCAGGCCCGACACTCGTTACATATCTCCGCATTAACATTGAAAATATGTGCAAAGTGAGGTTCATTGCGCAATTAGGTCTGATTT